TGTGGGGCACATGTCAATAGACATATGATGATAAGACAAATCATGAGTAGGGTACTATTGGTTGACAATGAAAAAGTGATTGCATTGACTATGCTCGTAAATATCATAAATGCTAGATCTATGCTGACAAGATCCATGCTCTGTCATCTGCTTTACATGTTTTGGCACCACCCTAGTCATTCTCGATGTGGGACATGGATGTCATTGATCCTATTATCCCAAAGGCTTCTAATGGGCATAGATTTATTTTCATGATGATAGATTACTTCATGAAATGGGTGGAGGAAGCATCATATGTAAATGTAACACGATCTGTGATTTACAGGTTCATAAAAAGAGAGATCATTTATAGATATAGACTTTCAGAAAACATTATTTTAGATAATGCCAAGAATTTGAATAGCAATATGATGTAAGAAATATGTACCCAATACAAGATCAAGCATCATAACTTGATGTCATACCGTATGAAAATGAATGGATTATAGAGACAGCTAACAATAATATAAAAAAAATTTTGAGAAGATGACTAAGACCTATAAAGATTGGCATGAAAAGTTATCATTTGTACTGCATGCATATCGAACGTCAGTGTGCACCTCTACTAGGGCAACTTCATTTTCTTTGGTTTATGGGATAGAAACTGTATTGTCAGTAAAAGTAGAGATCTCATCCTTGAGAGTTCTGAAAGAAGTTGAACTAGAAGAGGTTGAATGGGTTTGAGAGCGTTATGAACAGTTGAATTTCATTGAGGAAAAGAGTTGATGCCATGGTAAACTATATTAAAAAAGAATGATTAGGGCTCATGATAAAAAATTTGACTTCGTTGTTTTCGGAAAAAAGAGTTGGTCTTGAAAAGAATTCTTTCAACCCAGCATGATAATAGAGAAAAGAACCCTGAATTGAGAAGGGCCATATGTGGTGAAACAGGCTTTCTCAGGTGGAGCGTTGATATTAGCTGTGAAGGATGAAAATGATTTGTCACATCTTATAAATTCTAATGCTATGAAGAAGTACTATACTTGATAAAAATAAAAAAAATAAAAAATGAAAAACAAAAATTGAAAAAATAAAGACAAAAGAATGAGTCAAGGCGAAAACCCTGAAAGGGCAATTTGAGTCAAAAAGATGGGTTTATCTAAGTTAAAAACCTGAAAAGATAGTTTAGATAAGAAGCATACAGCATCAAATTTGAAAATTCATTGGCATGAAGGCTAGTAAATTCTGAGGAGCTCTAAGTTGTTAAAGGCATCGGGTGGTTGAGTTTTTTGAAAAAGATTTCGAGATATATTATCATGATTGTCCGATTGTTCATTTTTGGCATTGTCTCCGATACCTATTTTTGTAATTCTTTTTGGCCAAAGTCTGCCAGTATTTTTGCCAATAAAAGACATTCTACTTCATTTTTTGTGTGTCTCTTCTGTTGACTATTTCTTAATTATTCTTATTATTTTCTCCTCAATACCTTACAATGGAAGAAATGTGTGAATGCATTCTTACTTTTTGAGATTGAAATAATGATTGATAAATGAATAATAGTATGAAAGATTTTACATTACATTGGAAAGGTCGAGAATGATAAGGGCAAATTTGAGATGTTCAGTTCCTAATAAGGACATTTAATTTAGAAAGGGATTTCTTGTAGAAAGAATGTGAGAATTAAATGAAAGAGATGATTGAAAGTTACGCTGACTTGGTATTTGAAAAACAAAGGGTTCGAGGCCCAAGAAAAAGCTTGAGAAACTTGAGTACCACATTTGAATAGAAATTAACTAGTCAGCATTTACATAGCATGCATTGAATTTCGCACGCATTGTATTTCGCATAGCATATACTGCATTTAAGAAAGTATAGTGCATAAATTCAAGAAGTAGGGGTATTCCAGAATCTCACATAAAGAAGACAGATGTGAAGACTTTTTGATTTTTTTATTCTCGTTTGAGAAAAAGCTTGTGAAGTAAGTTTCTAATCCTTGGAAAAGGATATCTCTTGGTATCATGATCGATTTGTAAGACCCTTGGGCATAATCTCCTGAAATTCCTTCAAACACGATCTTCGACTCCTTTAGACATGATTGTCAATGAGTAATTTATTTTTTCAAAGTTGTTGAGCCTCTGTTTAAAGAAGCAATTTATTTTTTCAAAGTCGTTGAGCCTCTATTTAAAAGAGATTTATTTATTTCTCCAAAGTCGTTAACCTCTGTTTAGAGGAGCAATTTATTTTTTTCAAAGTCATTGAGCCTCTGTTTAGAGGAGCTTTATTTATTTCTTCAAAGTCGTTGAGCTTCTATTTAGATGAGCTATGTTTATTTTTTTAAGTCGTTGAGCCTCTGATTAGAGGAGATATGTTTATTTTTTTTAAGTTGTTGAGCCTCTGCTTAGAAGAGCTTTGTTTATGTTTCTCAAAGGCATATGAGCTTTCATTTAGGAGGAAGCTTTGCATCAAATTTTAACAAAAACAAAAAAGTCAAGTGAGATCTTGAATAAGTTGTCTACGCTTTGCCACAATTTCATTTCATAAAAAATATGTAAAGAGGGATAGTTGTAAACACCCAATTTGGTCCAGGCTCGGATTGATTGGGTCTGGTCCAAATGGGTAAGCCCATTTGCATTTTTATTTTTATTTATTTATTTATTATTATTATTATTTATCTATTAATATATTTTTTTATTTATCTATTAATATTTTTATTATTTATCTATTAATTAATTTATTTATTTATTTATTATCTATTAGTATATATATTTATCTTTTTTTTTTTACTTTATCTTTTTTTATCAATTTTCAGCTGGGATTAGGATAAAAAAAAATTAGAATGTATTCTGCCGTGAATTTGGGGGCTGGCAGAGTTGAGATTAGATTCAAAGATTGAATCCAAATCCTAGAGAAAATTGAGATTAATTAGAAACTCTTCTGATCAATTCCTATAAATAGATCCATAGATCACACAGAACAGAGACAGAAACAACATAGAGGTGAAACAGAAGTAAAAAGTGTTTAGAGGTGGTTTAAAATTTTTTTAAAAAATTTTTTGAATTTTTTGGAGTTTTTTTTTTTAAATTTTTGAAAAATTTTCAGAATCCGATAAATTTTTCGACGGCATTTGAATTTTTCGACGTGTTTTTGGGCCAACTTTGAAGTTTTCGACGTCTTTTTCATTATTCGGTAGAACATTCAACCAGAATCTGGGTTTTTTTAAAGAGAAAGAGGAGAAAAAGAAAAGGGGAGAGAGAAGGAGGAAGGCGCATTTGTTGAAAGGCTGAGCTTTTAGCCTTAAATACCCTACTAAAACGATGTCATTTTGGCGTTAGTAAATCAATGGATTTGCACGTTTTTGCTTGGGCTGACCTGACCCGTGGCTCAACCCGCGTCTGACTTGAATCACCTATTCCTTATTAAGCCGTCGAGCCGAGCCAAGCCATATCCCGAGCCGTTTCGTTCCAGCCTCTTTTTGTGCCTTGAGCCGAGTCGATTCCAGCCGCAGAGCCGAGCCGCGTTAAGATTTATTTATTTATTTATTTATTATTACTATTATTATTATTTCTAAATTTGAATTGTTTGATATTCTTTATTTTATGTTATTTTATTTCTTTTTTTAAATGATTTTTCTTAAAAATAAAATTCTAAAAAAAATATTTTTAGGAAAAAGTTGAAAGTATCAATTTTCCTTAAAATTAAATTTAAAAAAAAAGCATTTTGGGGAAAGTTGAAAGTATTAATTTTTCTTAAAATTAAAATTTTACAAAAAAATATTTTTGGAAAAAGTTAAAAGTATCAATTTTTTTTGAAAGTAAAATTTTTAAAATAAAATTTTCAAAAAAAACATTTTGAAGAAAAGTTAGAATTACCAATTTTCCTTAAAAAAATAAAAATTATCAAGAAAAACATTTTTAAGGAAAAATTGAATGTATCAATTTTTCTTAAAATAAAAATTTTCGAATGCTTTAAGGAAAAGTTGAAAGTATCAATTTTCCTTGTACAAAAGCAATGAGTTTTTTTTTATGAAAGAAAAGGATTTATATCAAGAGTTGAATCATTATTCCTTTTTTTATTTTTTTTTCTTTTCTTGGATTTTTTTATGTTAAATAATCCAACGATGGAGTCTCTGCAAGTGAAACAGTAGTTTTCTTGCATATTCTTGAGGTGATGAAATTTTTTTAATTTTCTACCAAAAATATTGGAGTTAATTAAGAATAATTTTCAATAATTAATTACTTAGTAAAATTTTTAAGGCTTATCGAATAACACAAAATCAAGCTGGTACCATCTTTCGATGGGCGTTGTGAGGGTGCTATAATCTTCCTCACACGTAATCGAACTCTCGAACCCTGTTCTGGTTAATAGACATAAACCTATTCTTTTAAGGACCCTTAGTCGAGCTTAGGTGTTCTTTGAAGGGATAAATTTTTTAGGTAGTCAATCGCACCTAAACAAAAAATATTGGTAGCGATTCCTTAAGTCAATGTCTAGCAATAGGTCATCGGATCTAGACGTTATAATAATACTATTTAAAATCATTTGTCAAACTTAATAAACAAATAAAAACCGAACATATTTGTGAACAATCCATTAAAAACTGTGTTTGCATACTCCCTTAATCAAAGGCCCCATTTTTCCTTCTCCTTCATTTAATCTTATATTTGGATCGGTTAAGTAATGAATTAATGAATCAAAAAAAATAATCACAAATGACATCCTATTCGGGGAATAATTTGCAAGGAGAATTCACGTTTGCTAACGATCCATTAAAAACTATATTCGCATACTCCCTTAACCAAAGGCCCCATTTTTCCTTCTCCTTCATTTAATCTTAGATTTGGACCGGTTAAGTAATGAATTAATGAATAAAAAAAACAAAAAGAAAATCACAAATGACATCCTATTGAGGAAATAATTTGAAAGGAGAATTCATTCTTTCCAAGATTCAAAACAATCATAATCCGCAAACATCGGGTTAGGAAAATTTACAGATTTTAGTTGTAATGATGTTTTTGATAAAGGGAGACGTTGATCTGATGCATTCACTTGGAGTCAACAGCTATCGATTCTCTATTTCTTGGTCGAGAATTTTACCTCGTAAGTCTTTTGACAGAACCATTGATTTGTAATACTTAAGTTCTGGTTATTTGAAACATGACTTATACTCAAATACATCACGCAATTTCCCAACAGAAGGGAGATTCCGAGAAGTTAATGTAGCCGGTATCAACTTCTACAACAACCTTATTGATGCTCTCCTACTTAAAGGTTTATTTTCCTTTATTGTAGGACGTTTGTTAAGCATACATAGATGAATACCATATCCTGACGGTCATTGGACCTCCGTTTGGACATTTTCTGCAGGCATTAAACCATTTGTAACATTGACGCACTTTGATTTTCCTCAAGAACTTGAGGACAGATATGGAAGTTGGCTGAGTCCTCAATCACAGTGACTATCTTGTTTTCGCCCTTTAATTGACCGCATGTCTGAAAATGGCATGCCACATTGCCACTAATGACTCTATTCTTGTTTCAATCTTAGGGAGGATTTTGCATATTTTGCAGACATCTGCTTTAAGTCCTTTGGAGACAGGGTGAAGTATTGGGTCACTTTCAACGAGCCTGATTTCCAAGTCACTTTTGGGTACCGTACAGGAAAATTCCCACCATCACGTTGCTCCTGGCCATTCGGAAATTGTACCTACGGTGATTCAGAGAAGGAGCCCTTTATAGCAGCCCACAATATTATCCTAGCACATACAGCCGCTGTTCATATTTACAGAACCAAATACCAGGTATCAACTAACGCACTAAACTACGCATCCAATTTTCATTAATGATGCAATGTAGGCTTAGTAACATTTCTAAGTTAATGTTAAACGTCTAGGAGATGCAAGGAGGTAGCATTGGAATTGTCTTGCATTGTTCATGGTATGAACCCATCAGCAACTCTATAGCTGACAAGCTAGCAGCTGAAAGAGCTCTATCCTTCTCTATAAATTGGTACTTTTTTCACTATTCTCTTCATCAACTTTTCTATATGCATTTGCATGAATATTCATGTGCTGAATGACAGCTAACTAAACTTATATGCAGGTTTCTAGACCCAATTATATTCGGAAGATATCCTCCTGAAATGCAAAGCATTATAGGATCTATTTTACCTGAATTTTCAACAACTGAGAAGGAGAAGCTGAAGAAAGGATTGGATTTTATCGGGATTAACCACTATGCGAGTTACTATGTCCATGATTGCATGTTCTCTGTGTGTGAACCAGGATCAGGAACCTCAAAGACAGAAGGATTTTGGGCAAAAAGTTTAGAGAAAAATGGAACCCCTCTTGGCGAACTTGTATGTAACCTTAATTTATGACAACTGTGCTGCATTGCAATTTAAGCTAATAGCTGAAGCTTTTCCACTGTGCAGACTGAGCTGGATTGGCTGAATGTTTACCCCCAAGGAATGGAGAAGATTGTAACCTATATTAAAGAGAGATACAATAACATACCCATGATCATTACTGAAAATGGTAGGAGAGACCATAGGTGTCATTTAAATGCAAAACTTGTCTGTATACTCATAATGTATCGTGTTCCATGTAGGATATGGTGATGTGAACAAGGCAGATTCCACAACTGAAGAACTTTTACATGATGTCAAACGAGTGCAGTACATTGCTGGACACTTGAATGCACTGTCAACAGCAATCAGGTGAGAATAAAAACTAAAATCTGTGGTTTATTAGAAAAACCTGAACAAACCTTTATCACAGTACTGTTATATTGATTCGAACCAGCCTTTTACATCGGTCATTGGGTAAGTGGCTTCCTACTACATCCTTTTGCAAGCTTCTTAGTACTTATGCGGTTCATAATTTGCCTAGTCTAGCTTCATATATGAGACAACCTCTGGTCCATAGAATAGCCTTACTACGCTGAAAAGCTGGAAATGTGAGCAATCTTAATTAGGTTGCTGTGACATTGAAGATAAGGGATTAATCTTGTTCTCTTGAATGCTATCAGGAAAGAAGCAGATGTGAGGGGTTACTTTGCATGGTCTTTGCTAGACAACTTCGAATGGAATTTTGGATATACGGTTCGATTCGGACTTTACCATGTTGACTATAAGACCCTGACGAGAAGACCAAAATTGTCAGCAACTTGGTATAAAAAATTCATCTCAGAGCATGGCAAAGTAAAAGACCAGAGAGCAGAACATGCTCAGAATCACCCTTACTACAACTAGCCTGCTCCTAGAATCTTTTCTCAAACAATGTTGGGGTTAGGCAAAATTATGTTGTGATAAAAATCATAGGAACAATCGTTTCTTTCAGGGTCGGCGTTATATTATCTTGGGCAAATAAATATTTCTCCCTTTTTCACTACCAGCACCAAAAACTTATCACTAGGTACTAGTAAATGTAAATTTTTAGTTTACTCCGTTTAATTTATAGTAGACAAGAGAACATGGACTCTAAATTCATAATGATTCCAAGTGCATGTAGTATACATGCAAGCGAGACAGGAGACCAGATCCATTAGTAATTTTGACCAACTCTACACTGAAAATCTGCAATGCTTGTCCAAGCAAGGGGAGAAAATATTTTTAACCTGAATACAACTCTGTAAATTACTAAATTGGAATTTTAGAAAGTCGACTATACCTGGTAATAACTACTTGCAATAAATTATTGCTGCCCTCCAAATTTTCTGTTTGGCAAGTTGATTTCGACTATAGGTTTTGAATTATTGATTCCTGACGCCTCCTCTTCTATATCTTCAACTGAAATTTCTGTTTAGCTGGCATATATACATCTATAACTTTATCGCATCCGCTGGAGTATGCATGGTGGATATTGCTAGATGATATTAAAATTGGTAGTATTAAAAATAATCTGAAAGACTGCTGATAATTTTGAGATTATAATACAGCAGAGTTGAAGTTACATCAAATTGCCAATAATCATACATTTTATTGATAGCAGAACGTTGGATTCTTCTTATCTTCAATGATCAAATTTACTATCCAGTTACTTCAAATAGTAAAAAAAATGTTACTCCAAATCTATATCCGATCCCAGGAAACGGACGTAAGGGAATAATCCAACTAGAGGCCCTGAGATATTACTCAAGGAAGACAAACTAAATTATTATGCCTTTTTTCTGGTAAAAAAAATAAAAGTATGCCTCCCGACAATACTAAGTGCAAATGTCATGGACCTAAGGAAGAGTCCTGAATCTCATATCGAACATAATAAAAGGGTTCATAGGGTATAAAAGGGTTCACATCACCTCCGTCTTGTGAGGCGCTTTTTATAGAACAAAACCGTGAGGTCAAGGGGGCCAGAGCGGACAATACCTCACAAGGGTGTGAACCGTGACAAGAAGGCTGATCCGAGACGCCGGAAGGGTGAATGCCTGGATCCCGAAGCCTAAGTCTCGACCCGTAACATAAAGACTCAAAAAGCATCCAGCATAAGTTATCAATACAATATGATTTAAAGAAAAAAAAAACATTAATAATGCTCCGAAACAACTTTAGAAGATTAAATTTATAATTTCATAATATGTATTTGCGGTCAATTTTCTTATAATTGACACTTATGAAATTGATTTTGAATAATGAGTAAGACACTGTGTATGATATCTTTGATGTTGTCGTTTCTAAAACTTTCTTACAGATCTTTTTCTTTTTCCTCTCAAATTGTTCTTTGGCTACGTTGTTTATAAATACAAGCAAATTAGGACATCATCATCACATTCATTTTATATTCTTTATATATGAGAAAGATTACACATAAAAATATACATACAAATGCACTCAATTATTTTTTTGAAATTAACTTTTTTTAACATAATAAAAAAAATCTTATTCTTTTATTTTTCAAAAAATTTCATCCCTACATATGTGTGTTGTATATATTTTTTATGTATATATAGCATTATCCCTTATCTATAACATTAATTTCGATGACTTTGACTCTTTAAGACCTGTCACCCGGCAATCCCTTTCTCTTTTTTTTTTTTTTTCCATTTTCATTTCTTTTCATTTTTTATTTTAAATTTCTATTTTCGTTTTCTTTTTTTTCCTTTACATATTTAATTAATTATCTCATTTTTTTTAAAAAAAAATTGTATGCGGTCCATTTGATATTATTAATTAAAAAATATATTTAAATTTTTTTACAAGTTTTTGGGGTTCTTTTTATTTTTAATCAATTATATAAAATTTTCACATTTTGAATTTACAAAAGACCTCTTATATGTCATTTGATTTAATAAGAGAAATTTTATTTAATAGGTCAAAAATGGATTTAGAATATTTTCTTGGAATGCCTTTTGCTATTTTTGCTTTTTTTTAAATTAAGTAAATCATTTTTTAAAAATTGATGAAATAAAATTTTTTACCCAAAACATTGCGTTCGTACTCACGTAATATATATTATAGTAGATTCCATTTTCATGCACAATAAGATAAATTTATCTTCTTTTTTTTTTCTAAGTTTGAATTCAAAGTTTCATTTATTGATTACAAAGCCACTCTATATATTTCTTTAATTTAAAATTAGTGATTAATTAAAACATATTTTTTGTACGATTAAGCGAAGTCAACAGAAGAATTTAAGCATTATACTTTAATTAACCCTCCACGCAAAAGATAACAATCTTGCACTAAATCAAGCTTGAATTTTTAATTTAAGAAATGTTTTACCGGTAACTAATTCATTGACTATCAAATCTTAACAATGTAAGATTCTTAAGAAACGTAATCTCCCTCCATGGCTATAGCTCTTTCTATCAATTTCAGTCCCCTTCATTTACGGGATTGTTGGAAAATAAGATGGATGGCGCCTTCTCAACTTGTCATGATAACTTGTAAATTTCTCCTTTTCTGAAGCAGACTTTAATCTGATTTCTACATTCGGTCAAGCCGGCAAACTATACGAAATGGGAGGTATACGGTGTACTTCATTTCTTTGTCAATGATCAACGCTGGCCCGCAACGTAAGCAGTAGGCCAGGCCTACTAATTTCATTCAAATCCTATCCTCTTATTTCTATCTGCTAATAATTTTCCTCCTTGAATCTGCTGTATGTATTCCCTCAAGCATGCTATATATACAGATGACTATAATTTTCCGTAATTTGTTCATTGCAAGCAGCATTGGCATTGGATATAACCATGGATTTTTCTAAGCTTTACATCGCTTCCTTTCTCCTACAGATGTTCATGTTATTGCCTCTCTCCATTTCATCCGAGCTGCTAACTCTGAAACAAAGCTTGGGTAATAATAATCCATCTTCATTTCCTCTCAACTTTCTCTTCGGGACGGCCTCTGCTGCTTACCAGGTTTGCTCTTCACCATTTTTCAATCTGTTATACTGATTATAAACAAAGAAACAACTCAAAATTCCAAAAACAAGCTCGGATGTGCATGAAACTGGTTTGCTCCTTTTTTTTTTTATCAAAATTTTCAGAAAATAATTAAAAAATAGACAGATGCTTCTTTTTCACTTTTTGCAGTATGAAGGTGGTTACTTGAGTGATGGCAAAGGTTTGAACAATTGGGATGTTTATACCCACGAACCAGGTAATTACCTCTCTTTGATTAAAGAAACACTTCTAAAATTGCAGTCTTCTGAGAAAAAAAAAAAAACCCATTAAATAGAATTTAACATTGAATTTTATACTTTTGATTTATAAGAACATTTCCATGTATGTATACCCAAAAAAAAAAAAGATAATATGATTTTGTATTGCAGGAACCGTCATTGATGGGAGCAATGGAGATATAGCAGTGGATCATTATCATCGGTATTTGGTATGCCTACCTCTCTATATATGCACTGTAATTTGCACCCACCTTCTCTCTCTCTCTTTTTTTTTTTTTTTTGTTGAGTAATTTCTTTTTAATTAGACCGTTGTATCTTCTTAATTTGTTTGGACTCTTTATTATGATTATGATAATTTACAAAAATATCTAAAAAAGGGGTAATTGCAGTTTTGACCTTTGTGGTACTTTTGGTTTCGCCAAAAACTTTTTTGGAATTTAATGTATAAATGATGAGTAAAGGTCAACAAAAAATCTTACCAATACCTTTGGTGAGACTTCAAATCATATGGGTTAATTCACTAATGGAAACCGATCCGTCCATATATTTGCTTGGTGGAGTAGTAACTTTGTCGTTTGTCCTTGACAAGTTGACTTTCTCTACATTTTTCTATAAACATTCATCATGTTTAAAATCATTAACTAAAAAAACTAATGAAATTTTGATCTAAGTAACCATAACTGAATGTGAAACATCTGATTACTTATAGATGTTGATTTGCTATAGGAAGACATTGATCTAATGGATTCACTTGGAGTCGACAGCTATCGGTTCTCTATTTCCTGGGCAAGAATTTTACCTAGTAAGTCTTTGAAAGAGAGCATTGATGTGCAACGTTTAAATTCAAGTTGTTTGGACCAGGACTTGTTATCTAATCTATCATGCAATTTCCCAGCAGAGGGGAGATTTGGAAAGGTCAATTTAGCCGGTATCGAATTCTACAACAAGCTAATTGATGCTCTCCTACTTAAAGGTTTATATATATTTACATTTCTGGAATGATTTTTCTTAAGAATATTGCATAAATATCATATTCAAATTTCATGGCACTTTCATTTGGACATTTTCCCCAGGGATTCAACCATTAGTAACTTTGACGCACGTTGATCTTCCCCAAGAAATTGAGGACAGATATGGAAGTTGGCTGAGTCCTGAATCATAATAAATCTCTTGTTTATTGTCACTTGTGTTTTGAATCTGATGAATGGTAATTTTGCACCATTGCCGTACCACTAATGGCTTTGTTTCTTTCAATTTCAGAGAGGATTTTGCATTTTTTGCAGAGATATGCTTCAAGTCCTTCGGAGACCGGGTGAAGTATTGGGTCACCTTTAATGAGCCCAATTACCAAGTCAAGTTTGGGTATCGTACAGGAACGTTTCCACCATCTCGTTGCTCCTGGCCCCTTGGAAATTGTACCTATGGGGATTCAGAGAGGGAACCCTTTATAGCAGCCCACAACATTATCCTATCACATGCGGCCGCTGTTCATATTTACAGAACCAAATACCAGGTATCAATTGCACTAAAAATCTAAATTACATTGGTGTAATTTAGACTTATCAGCTGTAGGGACCTAATATTAGACATTTCTAAGTTACATTATCAACTATCAGGCGAAGCAAGGAGGTAGCATTGGAATCGTCTTGAATGGCGCATGGTTTGAACCCATCAGCCTATAGCTGACAAGCTGGCAGCAGAAAGAGCTCAATCCTTCACTATCAATTGGTAGATTTCTTCCCCACTCTCTTCATCAATATTTATGCATGTCTCCGTATCAATATGCTGAAAGATTCTGGATCCTGATTGTAAATTAAATATAGGTTCCTAGACCCAATTGTATTCAGAAGATATCCTCCTGAAATGCAAAACATTCTGGGATCTATTTTACCTGAATTTTCAACAACTGAGAAGGAGAAGCTGAAGGAAGGATTGGATTTTATCGGAATTAACCACTACTCAGGTTACTATGTCCAGGATTGCATGTTCTCTGTGTGTGAACCAGGAACAGGAACCTCAAAGACAGAAGGATTTTGCGGACAAAAGTCACAGAAAAATGGCATCCCTATAGGAGAACCTGCATGTAACCTTAATTTATCGCCTGTTTGAAACTTGCATAATAACTTAAACCAGAAGCTAAATCTTTTTGCATATGCAGACTGACTTGGACTGGCAGTACGTTTACCCTGAAGGAATGGAGAAGATCGTAACCTATGTTAAAAACAGATTCCATAACATCCCCATGTTCATTACAGAAAATGGTATGAAGAGACAGAGGTGTCC